GAGAGGTGGAATTCAAAAAAATGCACATGTGGCTTATTTGAAACTTCCGTCGACGCATTTCGGTAAATTCGTCGACGCAAGATTGCATTTGACATGCGTCACCTCTAGAGCTCGTGCATTTCCAAAATTCACGCGAAAGTTTTTTAAAAATTTCAGTTTAGTCGACGAAGAATATTCTTGGCCTCATGGAATTCGAAAATATTGTTTATTTGAAGGCTTTAGGAAGGGCCGTATTGTATAACCATAACCGCAAAGGCTTCAGAAATCCAAGAATATATAGATGCATAATGCATTGACAATGCTTAGGTAATGACGGGGAATTTATAAAAAACTTTCGACTTTCAAAAGAAAAAGTTCTAAGTCCCCTAAAAATTTCAACTTTCTGGCTTATCGGGAAATACAACATCGGCGCGCGCGGTCAACTTGGTCGTTGGATTGACGGCAAACTATTCGCAGTAGATGAGTGTTTGAGCACTCATTTTGTAGGTAATTTCAGGTACTTCGAAATGGTATCTAAGCAGTATGCGAAAAAACCTACCGGTTTCACGGTATTCACGAAAAACCAAAAACTACCCCCCACTTTTGACCTTTGGCCGGCCATTGTGATTTACCTAACGCTGTGTCTAGAATCCCGGTACCGGTAACACATTTTTTACCGGTAGTTCTGATGACGTCATCGATATGACGCACTTGTACCGGGATTTAAGTAAATCCCGGTGTTTTGATTTTGTTTTTATCGTTATTTATCAGCTGATTGGTATTTTAGGTTAATTTATTAATGTTTTCGTCACTTTTTTGAAACAATGCAAACTATAAAAGTTAGTTTAGGTTCGAAATACCTTATATAAATGATTTGCGTTCGGAAATGTCGAAAAACTCATCCCAGATTAGAAGCAATCTGCAATCGGATGATAGTAAACTAGGGTTGTTATTCCCGAAAATCCCTGAGAATTTAAACGAATTTGAAATGATGTCACTTTATATAGCAGTTTATAATCGGATTTAATATTTATTAATTTACTTCAAGCAATATATGTAACTATACTGTTTAGGATGTAAATTAAAATGAATATATCTCATTTTTTATTTATAAGTTTACAATCAGAACAATAGGTAAGTACCACATTTTGGGTATTTCACACAAACTGGCACATTTCACGTGTCAAAGTCTCTTCAACTTCTTTATAACTTTTAACTGTTTGTCCTACATTAAAAACCATTTCAAAAGTGATTTCACGTTGATAAACTCACGAAAACACTCCACTTTACGTTCACACATCAACAAAACAAGTTAAAAACATACAAAGTTAGGTTAAGTTGGACTTTGATAAAACAAAAACCGCCAACGACTACATTTTTTACCGGGATTTGCTTAAATCCCGGGTACCTAGTTCGTCATATAGGTGACGGCATCAAAACTACCGGTAAAAAAAGTGTTACCGGTACCGGGATTCTAGACACAGCGTTTACCTAATCATCCTATGACCTTGATTTTATTATCATTAGATAGATAATTTTATTTCCCACAAATTTGATCTCTCGGACTTGACGGTACGGGCAATAGCACCGAAGATAAGGAATTAAAACGAACTCAACCCTACATAAAGAGGGGGTAGTATCTTCCCCCACCCCCTGGAATACGAAAACTCAGTTTTAGACTAAGGACATGCCCCCGAAGACACCCTCAAAATTTCAGCCATTAAGTATTTTTTTTAGTAAAATATCCCTATTTACTGTACTACTCGTTTTTTGTAATGAATAATTATGTAACATCTTCTAATTATTCTTAGAACCGATCCTGAACATGACCTGTAATTAGGTAAAAAGCGCTTGGTCGAATTTAATAAAAAAATTACACCATTACAAACCTGACTCATTCTTTATTAAATAGGATAATTCAAAAGGTTAATATTTTTAGCCTGTCGCTTCCCTTTCATTATTTTGATGGATTCCACTTTCCTTTCATTATAAATAAAATATTATGAAGTGGTTGGTTCTCCTAAACGTTGGCTTGTTGTTTGGCCGCTTTCAAAAAAATCTTTATAAAGAAACTAGATAATGGATAGGAAAGTATCATTAAAAAAAAAATACACCGACGTTTTGACAATGTATTTGTTCCTCATCGACGTTGTGGTGGATAATATGTTGATTAAAATTGTTGGAATCGATTGTCCACTTTTTCTGCAATGGAGAATTACCAAGAAAATGGTAATTTTTCCAATATTTTTTTTAGTACAATTTCAAAATGGAAAAAAATCCTGTCCAAAGTTCAATTCAGCATAAACTGTGAAAAGATCTTGCTCGGCTTTATAACTCGTCGGATTTAACATTTCATCTAGCATTTATTTGATTAAATTTCGTTCCATTTAAACTGCGCATCGGCCATTAAATTAATTATGACTGAGAATCTTTAAAATCATTCCTAAAATATCGTCCTTTATGAGCTGGAATTTAAATAAAAAAAGAAACTGTTTGAATGAATGTGAATTTAAATTTGAAAGGAACTAAAAAGCACAAAAATAAATTGAATTAAGATGACAAAAAATCTTTGGGATGCTACACAAAAAAAAACGGATGCCACATAATTAAAAATGTCGACGTATAAAGCTTCAACGGCAAATCCTATTATACCAATTATCGCTCTCAATCTTTTCATTCGAGAAAAAGGGGAACAATAATAATAAAAAACGATTTTGTCTGGAGAGCTTGTCCGGGAAAAAGGTATTTAATAATTTATAGTTGATGGAATTAGGTAATCGTATATAGATAGGATGCGAGCGTATATTTTATAAAAACATTTTCTAAATGTCACGAGGTTTGGAATTCCTTAAATCTGAGAGTGAGCTGAGTCTTCTTCCTGCATACCTATCTCATTTGTTTTTGGATTGAAAAGTCTATATCCCATGGCTTCTTCAGAATACCCAACAAATACCATTTTCTAGCTTCTGGGATCAAACTTTCGTCGTTTTTGCTCTGGTATATGAACATACGCTATTGATCCAAAAACTCTTAAATGGCTGAGATTTACTTTTCGACCACTACACTTTTCTTCTGGTGTCATTTTCTTGATTAATTTTGTTGGTGATTGTTTGATCAAATATACCGAAGTATTGACAGCTTCAGCCCAAAAACGATTATCACAAGACGATTCTTGCATCATAGATCTCGTCTTATCCAAAATGGTTCGATTCATGCGTTCTACAACTCCATTTTCTGGTGGTGTGTAAGGTACTGTAAGCTGGAATTTTATACCATTTTGCTTTAGAAAATTCTTCAAAATATTGTTTGATTCTTTACCATTGTCACTTCGGACTCTTTTAATCTTCAAATTACACTTATTTTCTACTTGCTGTTTGAATTCCTTGAAAACTTCTGTAACGTCACTCTTTTGTCTGAGAAAATAGACAAAAACTTTTCGCGTAAAGTCATCTATCAGGCAAAAAATATACCGACTCCCTTCCCAAGAATCTATGGGCATGGGTCCACACAGATCCATGTGTATGAGCTCCAACTTCTCGTGAGTGGAAACCTCTGTTCGTTGCATTTTGAACGGTTTCCGGCTGTGTTTTCCTTGAATACAGGACTTACAAGGATCGTCAAGATTTTTGTTAGAAAAATCCAATCCTATAACCATTTTGTCACGAAGAAGTTTCATACTAATACGGTTTAAATGTCCAAGACCTCTATGCCAAAGTACTTTTGACATTTCTGTGTTTGAAAAATTGTTCGGTTTTGTTTAGATTGAGGCAATAGACTTTACCAATTTCAGTTGCTGTAGCCACTGTAGCACCTTCAATCACGCAGTTTTCAAGTATCTTGCATGCTTCTTGATCAAATACCACTATAAAGCCTTTAGAGACCATCTGGCTTACGGATAGCAAATTAGAGGATAGGTCCGGAACATAGGTTACGTTAGAGATAACCTGGACTGGCGATCTATCCTTCAGACTAATATATACATCTCCAATTGCTTGACTGTATAAAATTTGATTATTTGCAACAGCCACTTCTAAGCCAACGTTTCTTTCTTTTGAAAAATTGACCAGCCATTCTTTGTTAGAAGTCATATGTGACGAAGCACCAGAATCAACATACCAATTTTGTCTATTTAGTTGACAACCTGATGCGGTAATAAAAACTCCATTCTTGGTTGACTTGTTCTGCTCATACTGTTTATTTTGGTTAGAAGTAGAAGATCCACTGACTTTTGTATTTGTACAATTTTGCTTATACTGTACCACAGAGCGACATTTCCAACACCAAGGCTTTTTGTGTTTCGCTTTATTGACTTTATTTTTCTTAGACCACATAGCTTTATTTGACTTGTGTTTATCAACTTGGATTTGATCGAATCACTCAGCTGAACTGGAACTTTCTGCATAACTTAGAGTAGTATACATAATTGAAATTTGCTCGAAAAAATGTCTATAAAATCCTAACTTTCTGAAAAGCAAATTTTCTTGACAGTTGGAATTTTCTTCAAAATTCTCTTGTTGCAGTTTCAGAGGTTGACGAATATTCTTGTGATTACATCTGCTGGCCTATCTGGGGCCCGTAACCTGTGTAAGCAATACGTAAACGCAGGACAGATGTGAAGTAGGAAGTAAAAGATTTGTAAAGATTGATGTATAAACTTAGAACGTTTTCACAGTGAGAAATATTATATTATTCTAACAAGTACAACCACAACTACAAAACTTCAATGTCATAAATAATAGATCATATATCAAAATGTACAGGAAAACTTCTCAGCTGATGTATTAATGGAAACTTCTTTCTTCAACAAATCCCATTTTATTTATATATTTCAATTCAATATTTCGTGTACTCAATACACGTTCTCAGTCGGGAGAACTTTTATTTTAGAAGGGTTTTAACATTGATTGGACATCACCTCAACAATAAGGCAAAGGCAATAATCGGGCTAATAATATTTTGAATTAGTAATTGATATGTGAAAATTCCAATTTGAAAATACATTAACTTGTTTTCTGTTTCAGTTATCTGCAGTGGTGGATGGCGTGTATGCGGATCATTCTCACATTGCGGGAAAATTCACAATGCTCTCATCGAGCCGGGTCTACGTGGGCGGCAGCATAAATACCAGAGCACTTCCTGGGGCTAGAGTGCACAACAATTTCGTGGGCTGTATGCGAAAGGTATGACCGCTTTATGGCGTATTTGCCCCAGAATTGAATTAACTGCAACGCGAGAGAAATTTAATCCGGTTAAAACTAAGTAACATTTTCTTCCTACACTATAGACGGAGTTACTTAAAAACACAAAATCCGCGTCTCAGAAGGAGCTTTTCTCGGGACGTTAACAAATGTAAAACAAAATCCTTTTTCAGGCTCGCTTCTTTAGTATCATAGTAAATTCTCCAATCGCCTAAAATCCTCTCACGTTGGGGACAGAACACGGCGGCAGCACGGACGATACATTTTGCTAATGGATTCTCTAAGGCGAGATCCAAAAGGCTTAGGCTACGAAATTTAAATTAGAGGCAGATGGACGCCATATAACGGGTCTTATCATTTTATTATTTGAGCAAACAAGTTTGTAAAACAGACTGGGATAATTAATGTTGTAGCATATTTTTCATGTTAATTTTATGAAAGGCTGAAAAAAAAAAAAAGATTTGATGTTCTGACAAGCAAACATTTTCACGTGGTAAATGGACTTTATTGCGAAAGCCAATTCAAATATGTAAGCCGTTAAGCGCCTCAATTCACTGGCTTTCAACTCGAAATGGCTTCCCACTGTTGCATTGTTCTACGAAACCAGAGATTTAATTAAAACGACTTAAATATTCGTATTTGTGTCACGAGTTTCTTTATACAGCCAAACTGTTAATTGGAAAAATAAAGTTTCACACCGACCTGTCAAACCCTTAACCCAGAAAATCATCAACAAATTCTTAGAAATAATCCAATTTTCCGTCTTTCACTTGTTGGCGGAGACGACAGTCGCCACCTGATCCCAGCAGTCGTTTGCTTGAGCTGCTTTCAGATAAATTGGCTTTGATTAAAATTAAATATACACGCAATTCGTCTTGAGCAAAGTATCATCTTAATTTAAGGGCTTCGAGTTGCCCGAGCGTAAAATGAGCAGTAATTTGTATTTGTCAAATATTTTGTTGCGACATTATAAAATATGCGATCACTTATCTTATTCTTCATGAGCGAGACTCGCTGATGATTGTAGTAGGGTTCAAATCTTGAAAATATATTGACAATAATTCAAGTCATTTACTTAGCTCTTGGACATGTCTAGGGAAAAACCACTCTAAAAAACTAAGTTGACTCGATTTATATCTGAAAGTATGTTAAGTATTTTCACGCATAAAAACTGTTGTTAAAATCAAAAGATGTAAATATTTGTCTTCAGGCTCTCTTCCATTATTTTGATGGATTCCACTTGCCTTTGATTATAAATAAAATATCATCTAAACGTCGGCTTGTTGGTTGGCGGCTTTCGAGAATTTGAATGTTCCTGAATCCGTGTCTTCAAATTACGTCTTTTAGTGGAATTGCAGTAATTACATTCTAGATGATGTATTTTGTGTTGGCAGAACTTTATCATTTAGCTAGCTCAGTGAATATATTTTCGGACCTTAGTCACATACAAATGTATTGCCGATTTCAAACAAATTTGCCTAGGGACTGATGCTTTTGAAAATTACCAAGGTATTAGTGGAGTATCCTGCGTTAGAGTCCGATAATAACTTATTAGACTTGTTGAGTATCAATCTTCTAGTGTATATCTGATAAATAATGCTTCTTTCTTCGATAAAGTTATGAATCATTCAATAAAAAGTAGCTAGTTTTTGAAACATAGAATCATTGAATTCTGAAGCTATTGCTCGAACGCGAAGGAGATGAGTATTCTGAAAATTGGTTGTTATTTCCTTTGGATAGTTGAATTGATTAATTAGGGATTTTATTAGATTCAATCTACTTGGTCAACTTGATGTGTGGTTTTCTTCAACTTTTTGTACTCCGCCTGATCTCATCCATCGATCTCTATTTGGAGCAAATAATTATTTCCAGTGTAGTAGTAAATTTGACATCGTTGTCTATCTTATCTGTAGGCTGCCTTTTGATCTGCATCCAGCATATGACTGAGTTCCAATTGCGATCTTTCTTTCTTGCAAACATTTCCTGCAAAACTCCTATTTAGATAGATGACTTTTGATACTACATCGTCCAACCTGTTTGGTTTCTTTCATCAATATTAAATATTTGTTCTCGGCTTTTGTAACTTTCCTGGCATTCCTATTAATTTTTATTTTCCCCTTATTTATCTTCAGGCCCATTTCTTCTGATCCTCTTGCCAACTGACCAAGCAGCAACTGTAGCAACAAGTTTCAATAAAAAAAATCTAAAATTGCTCATACCTTTGATAACATATTAGCTTCCTCTACCACCTGCAACCTTGTCAGATTTATTGTGATATCTCCTGTCTGACCTAAAAATGCGTTGTCTTTCTGATGCAACTCCAAAGCCGTGAAACTCTCCATATAGGGTTTGGGCTTCTCGTCATCAAGTTTTGTAAACCTAAGCCTGCATAACTCTTCGCAATGACACCACACATGTACGGCAGTTTCCTCCGCCTCCTGGCAGAACCTGCACAGGCTCATGCTTTCTAGTTGCCTATTGATTCTGCAATGTCCTGTTAGTTGACCTATCATTATCCTTACAATCCTACGGCTGTGGCTTAGTAGGTCTGATGTGAAGTTGCGCGAGTAGGATTTATTGAACTGGTTTTCCAGTCGTTCTCTTGGTACTTGCAGCCACCTGCATTGGAATTCTTCATATTCTTCATCTACCCAGTTCTTGATAGATGTTTTGAAGAGCATGCTAAGATTCCGCAGACTGGTTCTAAGCCTATCATGTCCGAGCCTCGTTTGGCTAAGTCGTCTCTTGCTTCATTGCCTAGGTGGCCCTTATGGCCGGGTACTCATGCTACAATTTGTTGGACAAGCACACGTCCTCTAGGGATGGAGGTGATCTTCTGGGAGTTGATTGCCTTTAGGGCCGCTTGACTGTGCGAGTAAATGTTTTTACTCCTCACTTTTTTTTTCTTTATCAGTATGGCACACAGTGCATTAATGCAGCGATTTCCGCCTGATACACGGTGGCGTACTGTCCAAGGCTTATGGATGTCTTCACCCTGGGCCTATCTCTATAGATGCGAGCTTCGATCTCCTTGTTAGTCTTGGAGCCTTCCAGTGTGCCAGATTTGGTCTGCTTTTATTGGAGGGCCTTCCTCCCAGTCTTTTCTATTCGGTATGACGACCCGAAAATGCCTGCTGAAGATGGAAAGAACAGTTATTTTATCTGAAGGCATCTGGTATAAAGAGGCCACCTCTTGATCCTCCTCTATTTTCCAATTCTGCGTGACCTTTGCTCCCCAGGCAACTGAACCAAAGGTTATCATTGGCCTTATTACCACTTTTTATAACCATAGGTTCATCTTTAGGTTAAGCCCCCCGGGCTGGCACTCTGTAACGGACAGAGATCGTTATCCCTATCGCTAGGGCACTTGTTGTCTTTTTCTCTCTTTTCGAAATTAATAGAGAGGGAACGTCAATAGAGATAGAGAAAATATCTTTATTTGTTACAGAGTCCCAAAGCTTTTCCACATGCATTTCCTAATGGCAATTATCGCCTTCTGAACAACTTTGTTGATGTGTGGACCACAGGTCAAAGATGACTCCTAGAAATACTAATTTCTTTGAAGGGGACAATTACGGTTTTCTGCGGATTAATCCTTCCTCCCTGCACCAGTTTTTGACTATGTTCAGTGCGTTTTGCGTTCTTCCTGATACTTTCTAAGCGCCTGCCTCTTACTACTATGACTATGTCATGTAACCAAAAAAGTGGAATCTCTCCTTGGCTAGTTTTAACAGAAGATCGTCGACTAGAACTGCCCAGTATAGTGGCGACAGAACGCCTTCCTGTGGGCAGCAGCTCTAACTTACTTTTGTTTTTACTCTATCTTCGCTCAGAGTGGATCTGAAGACCCTGTCTCCAAGGCTGGCTTCTTGATAACATGATAACATGTTAATGCAAGTTTTCATCTTGGAGAAAATATCACTCGATCCATTCTCCTCCACAACTTTTACCCAATCTATTAGAATCTCGCGTTTGTTAAAATAATTTTTTTCTACTACCGTGCGTAAAGTACTCACTTTACGCACTAGTGCGTAAAGTAATGTCAATGACAGATGTCGACGCTGTCAATTTGGTATTTTCCTGGTAAATTACTTCACGCACTAGTGCGTAAAGTGAAAATTCTTTACGCACTAGTGCTTAAAGTAATCATCTAAATTTATTTTTTTACACATATTTGATTGGTAGTAGAAAAAATTTTGTATGCAACACGTGCGTAAAGCACCTTTTTTCACTCATGTGATTGTCGGACTCGCCTTCGGCTTGTGCGTCAAAATTCACATTCGTGAAAAAAGGCTTACTTTACACACTTGTTGCATAAATAACTATTTTTATTAGGTGGAATTTGTCGCCGATACGTTACGACTAAACCTACTCGAATTGGGCAGGTCGGGTAACCACTTGATACAAGTGGCAGGCAGATTAGACTACAAATGTCCAACGGGAGAGACTCACGATCCCATCACTTTTACCAGTAGAGAATCGCACTTGGTAAGAGCAAGACTTTTTTATTGTTTCCACTAGTTACACAATATTTTCTTTCAGATATTGCCGACGTGGAACGCGAAAAAGTCGGGAAATATTTCATTTAAATTCCGCACTAATGAAGCCAACGGTTTGATACTGTTTAATGCTGGAACGCCGCCCAGGGTAAGTGTATGCATAATTGAAAACTCGAAATTTATCGTAAATCTTAACCCCCTTCGGGGGCAAACTTTAGTTTTTTTTTTCTCTTTTATTCTTCCTATTGATTGAATTTTTATTATATTTTATTTCAGTATAGAGTTATCAACAATAAATGTTGTAAGGCGACCGGAATTTTTATGTATCTTGTACGTAATAATATTTCAGTTTTACTTTTATTTTGTTGCTTTATTCAAGTTATTGTTTGGTAGTTAGGCAAAAACAAAACATGTCTAAGAACAAGCAATGTATTTCCCCTGGTTTATGAACCAGATTTTGTAGCCAGATCAATATTAGTATGCCAAACTTGTTCAGTCAATGAGTGATAACCTTTGGCAAGGGCGTCACCGAGTTGATCAAAACTTGGCTCATTCTAGAAAATAAATACTAAGCTTCCTCTAAGATTATATTATAACCTATTGGCTCGAGTAATTTTCCCCTCCTTATAACTCCATATCTAGTCGCTTCATATTATCAGAATCAATTTATGTTCTAGACCGATTTGTTCGCTGTAGAAATCTACAACGGTCACATCTATGTTCACATAGATTTAGGAACAGGCCCGTCAAAACAAAGAGGCTCGAGACGACGAATAGATGACGGCACTTGGCACGAACTAACTTTCCGACGCACCGGCAGAGATGCCCGAATAACCGTAGACGGTTTCCATACGGATTTTAAAGCTATGGGTAAGAATGCAAGTAAGTAACAGAGACATACGGTACCTACAACATTAAGTTACTTGTAGTTTATTAGTTTTTAGTTCTATTTTGTATGTTTATGTACCATACTATACTGACTATCAACTCTATGCTTTCACATAAATGTTTATTAGATTTCTATAATATGAACCATGTGCATGTTAAGCATACCTATTCACATAATCAAATTTTAATTCTCTTGCATATATTTCGTTATAGAAGGCGCAGCCACACTGGAACTCGAGAGCAATCTTTATATAGGCGGTTTGGGACCGCCGTTCTCGGAAATCCTCGCGCCAGCTGGACTATGGACGGCAGTCCTTCAGCAGGGATTCGTAGGATGTTTTAAGGACCTCGTTATGAATAACGAACCCATTGACGTTGCGAGTTTTGCCAGGGAACAGGATTCCGGTAAGTGTCTTCACATAAATGGGACCCATTATACTTTACATAACAAATATGCATATTATGAATTTGATGTTATATTGCGAAAAGCGACATTTCGGAGGTTGAATTTTCTCCAGGCTTCGCTTCGAATTTAATAAACCGCTTTGTGCGCAAAATTTCATATATATTCTCCGCTGCTAAATAGGCAAAAAAAAAATGTTTAATAATAAATGGCTGTTTCATTTTGACGCGTTTGCATGCTTGAGAGGCAAAACTTTATATGAATATCACACTGGCAAGATGTTATACAACATTGAACTTCAAAAGTCAATTGACTCGCAATAATGTTCCATAGTCATTTCACTTTGCATCAAAGTCATTGCAATGTAGGTACTAAAGTCTCAATTTCCTACACAATTTTTCCTTACTTTCACTAAACTATTCTAAAAAAAATAAATCTTTTGATTACATAGAGCATGCACATCATGTAGATTGACCGTTTTAAATTTTTCTTAAACTTCTTGGTTCGCGACCGTCAATGGATAATACTTCCCGCGACTTCTTTATTTTTTCAAATTTTTCACGGAAATTGAAATTGGTGTCGGAGGCGTTTAAAAATCAAAAAAATTCTACGCGAATTTTATCTTCACTGGACTGACCGTTTACTCTTCGACTTTCAAGCATGTACTGGAGACTCTTCCTGATTTTTTAAATCCGCAAACCACCCGTTTTTAGGGTACTTACTTACAGTGAAAATATCTATCTTAGATTAGCCCTATCTCTTGGCACATAAAGAATTATTACAGATTGAGCTTTCCTAATGTGATTATCCTGGAAACGAGTAGACTGCGGCGCAAAGGTCTACCATATATCCAACAATTTCATTGTGAGGACTTTGGAAACGAGCGGATTACTTGTACTCATTACTTCCCGCAGCAATCCACTTATTTTCAGTGAGCTCACATCGATAACTGTAACTCTTTATGTGGCAATAGATTGGCCTGATCTAAGATAGATTTAACATTTTCACTTTGAGTGCCCCTAAAAACGAGCGGCTTGCTGCGGAAATCTGCGGGACGAGCGGAGCGACTTCAGCAGCAATCCGCTCGTATTTAGGGTACTCACAGTGAAAATATCTATCTTAGGTTATCCCCATCTCTTGGGACATAAAGACTTATTACAGATTGTGATTGACCAATGCAATGTCAATACCCTGGAAACGAGTGGTCAACTGCACAGAGGTCTACTCATTACTTCCACAACTTTGCCTATCAATCCTATCGTTTTCAAAGTTCTCACAGCGGTGAACCTCTATTCGTGATTCTTTTGTATCAATAGATGAGACTAATCTAAGATATATATCCAACATTTTCACTGTAAATACTTTGGAAACGAGTGGAATGCTTCAACTCATTACTTCCCGCAGCAATCCGCTCATTTTCAGGGAACTCGCATCGATAACTGTAACTCTTCATGTGGCAATAGATTGGCCTAATCTAAGATAGATTTAATATTTTCACTGTGAATACCCTGGAAACGAGTGGACAACTGCGCAGAGGTCTCCTCATTACTTCAAAACTTTCCCTATCAATCGCATCGTTTTCAAAGTACTCACAGCGGTGAACCTTAATTTGTGATTCTTTTGAATGAATAGATGGGCCTAATCTAAGATATATCCAATATTTTCACTGTGTGTACTTTGGGAACGAGTAGATTGCAGACATCCAATAATTTTTAGGGAACTCGCATCGAACTCTTTATGTACAGGGTGTTTTTTTATATATTGACACCCCACCTACAGCCTTTACCTTTATAGATAGAAGAAAGGTGTAAATACAAAAACTGTACAGTTTTGGCGGAATTTTTAGAAACCATGGTCAGAAACAAAATTTGAATGTCAGAAATGTGAAATTTTGCATGCTTCCAGCTTCTTTCTAATGGGGTGCCCTATATTTCATTCTATATTCTTGAAGAGCACAATGCCCCAATTCCAAAAATATATAGTTTGTTTATATTTGATTGAACAGTCTCTCATATATTCAGCTCCAAAAATTGTAGAAATACTATCCTACTACTGATTTTGTGAACCACTCTACCTGTACAGGTGAAAGCTGCAGGTAAAATCTGAAGTGCTTGGTTTCTCTGATAGTATTTTTAAAATTTTTAGAACCAAATATGTTGGAGATAGCTCAACCAAATACGGACAAACTATATAGTTTTGGAATCGGTAAATTGTGCTCTTCAAGAACATAGAACCAAATCTAGCGCATCTCATTTGAAAAAAGCTGAAAGCATACAATATTCCACATTTCTGACATTCAATTTTTGTTTCTGACCATGGATTCTAAAAATTTAGCCAATACTGTACAACTTTTGTATTTACAGCTTTCATCTACTTGTAAAGGTGAAGGCTGTAGGTGAGGTGTCAATATATAAGAAAAACATCCTGTACTTAAACAATAACTTATTATATAAAGTCAAAATTTGTAAGATTATGATTATTCACTTTTTGTCAATTTGCCTATTAACAGGAATTACTAATGTTACTTTACCAAACTAATAATATATTGTCACAAGTTATTCAAATACAAACGAGTGGATTGTTGGGGAACTTATGGGTGGACCTCTGCGGGACGAGCGCAGCGAGTTCCGCAGCCATCTATTCATCAATATGTTGTTCAAGTACAATACTTACCTGATTCACTCAGTTGTGAATTTTTCTCATTAGTTCAAAAACTACACGTTTCAAATGAGTGTCTTATTTGAACAGTTCAACAGTATATTGGTGAGTAAATGGGAGGTCCACCTATAAGTTCCGCAATAAACCACTTATTTGTATAGGGTGTTTTTTTATATATTGATACCCCCCATCTACCTTCACAGGTAGAAGAAAGATGTAAATACAAAAGTTGTACAGTTTTGGCTGAATTTTTAGAAACCATGTTCAGAAACAAAATTTGAATGTCAGAAATGTGAAATTTTGCATGGTTCCAGCTTTTTTCAAATGGGATGCCCTATATTTTATTCTATATTCGTGAGGAGCACAATGCCACGATCTATATTTGATCGAGCAATCTCTCATATATTTGGCTCCAAAAATTGTAAAATACTATCCTACTACTGATTTTGTGAACCATTCTACCTGTATAGGTGAAAGCTGCAGGTAAAATTTGAGGTACTTGGTTTATTTGATAGTATTTTTAAAATTTTTATAACCAAATATGTTGGAGACCGCTCAACCAAATATAGACAAAGTATATAGTTTCGGAATTGGGAAATTGTGCTCTTCAAGAATATAGAACAAAATATTGCGTATCCTATTTGAAAAAAGCTGAAAGCATGCAAAATTTCACATTTCTAACATTCAATTTTTGTTTCTGGCCATAGATTCTAAAAATCTAGCCAATACTGTACAACTTTTGTATTTACACCTTTCATCTACCTGTAAAGGTGAAGGCTGTAGGTGGGGTGTCAATATATAAAAAAACACCCTGTAACTGATCTCTGTTAGATTCAACATTTCTAATGTGAGTACTTATAGAACGAGTGAACATTCGTTTTCAGCGTATTCACATTGTTGAACCTCAAACTGTAACTCTCTATGTAGCAATAGATTGAGCTGATGATAGATTCAACATTTTCACTGTGAGTAGACCAGAAAACGAGTGGATCACTGTGGAACGCGCTCCGCTCGTCTTGCAGAGTTCTCGAAGTAACGAGTAAAATCCTGCAGGACGAGCGGAGCGCAGCACTCTACTCGTTTTCATGGAATACACACAGTGAAAATTTTGTTCTAGTTCGAGTTTTACCGTTCCGAGTAACCATAAAATAAGTGGATTGATGCGCAGAGCTTTTGAAGTCTACTGGTTTTCAGGGTACTCGCAATATTTAAATTAGCTTCATTTAATACTTTTGGATCCCACCATGAACTTGCGTTATTCTGATACATCGATCCAAATTACTTTTCAACTATTTCTAAGACATATAATTATTTGTTCGACAAAAGATGTCGCAACTTTCTTGATTATTGGGGTCAACGGATGTCGTAAAAATGTGAGGCTGTATCTTTCAAAGAATGCCCATACTCGTGTTGACCATTAATAATGTTAGAGGAATCAGTCATTTGGTCCCCACAATTTAATTAATTTCGCCTCGCTTTTACTATCTTTCCGTTGCCTAAGTTATTTAAGTCCCTGTAATTTAATGCTCCATTTTTCTGGATCGTTACAACGTAGGTATATATTATAACGGTGCGCCTTCAAAGGAACAAAGTAATTGGTAATAACTTAATGGTATGAATTATAATCAAGGCACAAGGTTCGGTAATACATATTCTGGGTATTTGAATATGCCGAGATTCTGACACATTATAGGCAAGAAATTCGAGAATGAATATTGAAAATTCAATTTAGAAGTAGAAGAAACAAAAAAACAATACACTACTCCTTTATATTCAAATAATTGCTATTTACATTTTTATTAACAAATTAACAAGAGACCCATAATATGCTCAGTATGCTCAGCGAATAATTATTAGGGGTGGGTCAATAGTTTAATAAGTACAGAATGGCAAGGGCGCCACTGATTTTGAAAAAAAAAAAAATATTGAAGGTTGAAAATTCAGAAACACATCTAAAAAAAATAAACAGTAAACGGTAATTGATAATTCTATAAAGGAAATAAATGAGGCATATAACTCAACCAAATCTTGACATAGGTAAAACCAATAAAACAATTAAGTAAGTTCCAAATTAAATTAGTATATACATACTATTTTCACAGTAAGGTCAAAAATCAAGTATTGAATAATTATTTCAAAGTATAAAATCATTTGCTGGTAAAACACTTAGGCCCAGTTTCACAATTGTTGGTAACCATAGGGGGTAAGATAACCACTACCTGTAGGTTGCCATACCCCTCCGTCCAAGTCATTTTCACAACGAAAATATTCCCGAAGGTTATGAAACCACTGGTAAGATTTTCATCTTTACAATTGGTAAGGATTTTTACCAGATTTTTACCTGAAAAGAAGAAGTCCAGTCGCGATAACCTAAAATGTTCAGTGTAAAAATTGATTGTGAACAAAGTAATTAATATTCTTATTTGTTAGTTTGTTGGAATATGGAAAAAACTAATGAGAAAAGATCTGCCAACTTATAGAAAAGCACAAATCGATAATAGAGACAAAAGAAGCAAATCCCACCTGGAGAGAAAAGGAAAACACTTGGAAATTTGTGGACGAGCAATTTAATTCGCAATATACCTTAAACGAGAGAAGAAATGTGAAGGTTTTAAAGGAAAAGTACAGGAATTTGGGAGATTTATGTTATTACCAAACTCTATTGCTGCTTCTAGTAAACGGTCCATAGAGGGAACCTATCATTCTCATCAAAAGCTATGTTATATAATATGGCAGTTGCTACAATGATAGCTTGCACCGTGTCCAAATTTCGTAATCTTATTCCCATGACCAATGCAGGAAATCTTCTTTTATCTACAACCACATACGTAATGTTGACATTTCTGACTTTTCAAAAGTTTGAAAGCGACACTTTTTTGAATTTAACTTTTCTCCCGGGTGGAAAGTAAGTCCTCATTTCCTAAAATGTTAAAGACAAGTCCTACACGTCAAACGTTTTTTTAGATAAGTCAGAACTTGTCAACAAAATTTTCTAATTTTTATTTAGTATTTAGTCAAAATTGTAAGGGTTCTTATTGTTGTAAATAAAATAGTATACAAACCTCGGTAGAAAGTTTCATTCCTAACTCGAGATTATAGTTAACTTCGACGCTTCGCGTCTCAGTTAACTAACTAATCTCTCAACAGTAATGAAACACTTCCCACCTCGGTATGTAATATACTATTCCAAACTCCATATTTCCTTTCAACTACGTTTCTCGTCCTTATTAAAGAGTCGTTGTACAGGGCTTCAGCTTCATTTTTTACAGCTCGTAGAGGTGTTAGCAAGTGAGGTTTCACTGGATACCCACTGTCTCCTATGAAGACATTGTCACCAAACTGACCACTTTCTAAATTAGTATACAGAGCTGAATTTTGGAATATGTGAGCATCATGGGCTGAACCTTGCCATCTGGTAACGACGTCCCTAAATTTCAGATCTGCCTCTGCGATTGATTGAACGTTGAATGAGAAAAACTGTTTTCTGTTTCTGAACAGTTCCGCATTTTCACCTCCTGGAGACTGAATTTTAACGTGGGTGCAGTCTATGGCCCCTATACACCTTGGAAATCGAGCCAAATTGAAAATTTTTTGACACACCCTTTCAATCTCTTCAGCAGCAGGCATCTGAATATTATTTTGTCTCAAGCCAGCAATAGCTTGACTCACCCGCCTGACAGTTCGTAAAGCAATAATTACTTTGCTGACCCCGTGATGGTTTCCTGCAATACGTAAAAATGACCCATTGGCATAGAAATTAAGGGTAAGCAAAAGCTGATAACTAGGTGAAAGATACTTGTTTCTCAAACAAAAAAATAGGATGATAATAAAACATTCTGAATATGACCAGTAGTTAACTCATATCCAAGCCTAGGTTAATTTGACAGTAGGTTAACTACAAATTCTTGAGATAACCCTTGATTATAAAACACTATTTTTTATTTAACTAGTAGTTACAGGATAATCTATAGTTAACCAACTATTGTGAAACTGGTCCTTAAAAGAAAATCAATAAATAGAGGTTAACTCTCAGTCAGTTTCATCAAATTTAAAAAAAAAAAAAGATAATATTACAATGTACCTCAATATACAGGGTGTCCCAAAAAGATACCGACAAACTTCAAGGGGTAGTAGGGGACATCAAAACAAGCATTTTTGTTTATATAAACATATGTCCGCAAATGAGCCATTTGGGCTGTAGAGCAAAAAATCTGTTTGATACTTTTATTCTTTGCAATAATTAAATCACTGTTTATTTATTAATTTTGCTTTATTATCAAATAAATTATGGTTTAGAATAATTGTTCAAAATGTTGACCATTTACTTCAATGCAAAGATTACACCGTCGGGTCATTGAATGAAAAGTTTAGTCTACGAAACACCTGTTCGTAATGGGGAAGATCTGATAGCAAGGAAACTGGCGAGTTGTACCCATGTAGAAGCTATTCCCGGAATATTCCAAAGAGTTCGCGAGTTGAATTATTATTGTAAACCATAATTTATTTGCTATTAAAGCAAAATTAATAAGTAAATAGTGATTTAATTATTGCGAAGAATAAAACTAGATACCAAACAGTTTTTTTGCTCTACAGCCCAAATGGCTCATTTGCGGACATATGTTTATATAAACAAAAATGCTTGTTTTGATGTCCCCTACTACCCCTTAAAGTTTGTCGGTATCTTTTTGGGACACCCTGCTTGCCATATAAATTCATTAACTGGCCATATCATTATCAGGAAATGAAAATATAAAGAATTGAGTTCCCAGAAAACTAACTTAAAAAACAAAAGATAAATGATTGAAAATTGTATTGATAAATATGGTCAGCTTCTGCCTAAAGAATAAATTCAATAAAATCAACTTGCACCTGTATGGAATCGAAAGTTGGGTTAAATGGTCAGGAGATATAATAGAAATCCTCAAATATATAAGTTATAGAACCCAGGGTTAGAAATTGATCAATTTTTGACGATGTAGGTACTTACTAAATAATTTTAAATTTAGAGCATGTTGTCCAAACTTGACTTCTGTTCAGGTTACTGATTGATTATTATCATTGATAAAATATAAGTAAATTTTTTTTTGTACATTCTTTAAATATGGCGGTACTAAAAGTTAAGTAGAGATAAAATCTATAGTGGATATGGTAAATCAAAAATCGGAAATAATTATTTGTCAAGAATACGAAATAGAAATTTCAAATTATTAAATGTTATTCAGGAAATAAGAAAAAAAATCAATGATCGTAGAGTAGATTTCAGTAGAAAAAAATAATTAAAGATATAAATAAAACTCTATACAAGCCTCCATTCCAACAAAAAGGTAGAGCACGGTAGCTATCCATTCTCGGCGACTTGACGAGGGAAGTTGCAAATGGAAGTTGCAGATTTTAGCCTGGAATCAAGGCTAGAAGTTCAGTTTTCTTCGTCAAATGTGGGGGTACACGTATCGACTCGTGAGCCACGAAAATGGTGTTCTTTTAAAAATGTGGCCTTATGGAAATGGATTCGTTAAGAGAAACGGCTCCTCGGAAAACCCTAAGTAATAGAGGCATTCCATAAACAACCATTGGCCACGAGGGGACCGAGGGGTTCGAAATTCAAACTTGAATAAAACGGTAATCACAAGACTTTTGATATAAATTTTTTCGGTAATCAACGGATTATTGCCTTACGCAACTTTATTTCGTTAAGATAATGCCTGATGGCCGATAAGGTTCTTTATTTTCCACAAGCACGTTTGTCTCAGGAAGATGGCGGCTTTTAGCCCAGGATCGACTTTTCAGCTCGAACGGCAAAATTTAAAAGGGGTGAGAAACGAAACAAACAAGATGAACAGATCTAGCTTCCCCTCAAAAAAGCCAACGGAAAGCGTTGGTACTAAACTGGTACGTCAAATTTGAACGAAAATCGTGCCCTCTAGTTTAATAAGTAACATTTGCAATGTTACAACACATGAAGAAACTTAATAACTATGTTGGAACGTTATAAAATAACTAATGATATTTACCATCGTCCTATGCAACTATAATTTTCAAGTCGAGTAAGAGATTCAATTAAAGCCGCATCAAAGTCTTTGAAAATTTCATTAGTATAGTAATAGCTCTTTGACGCGGGCAAAATTGTAAATATTTAATCGCGCAATATGCACTATTATCTGCAGTCGAGTATATAAAAGCCAGAAACTCAGATAATAAACGCTAAGCCATACATTTAAGTCCCTAAAAGAAATGAGGAAAAATGGACGTAAGTTATTTTCTTCGTTTTGCAGAAATGAATTCGCCCAGACAAGAATAAATTGAAGTGTGACACGGAGAATGGAGAGCTAAGCGCTCACGTGGAAATATAAAAGTCACAAATATCTATCAGTGTTGTTTGAAGTTTAGCATACTATCAGCAACTTGTTTCTCATGAGAGCACAATAAATTTACATTTTGTTGTTTCATGACACACACTTATTTATTGAACCTTTAATCATATTTGAATATTTATGCCGAGAGAAAAAACCAAAAATAAATATTCTGCTTTAGGAAAGAAGGTATACAATATTAATGAGGCAATATTCTGTGGTGAAAAATATTTGACTGCTATGGGTTGATAAATTTTAAAATTTAAATTTTCAATTCTAAATTTATTGAAGCTTTTCCCTCGAAGTGGATTCTTATTTAAATTTTGTAATCGATTGATAAGCTCAATAAACTCTTCTTTGTTGAATATTAATTCCAACAACTCGTTCCCTTAACAAAAGGCCATTGTTTTCGCCAAAAATATAAATGTTTCAAGGTATTTTTGTTGTCGAGCGAATTCATTGTCCTTCGAAATCGACCACAAAGAAATTTATGTACATAGCTGTTGTGAATAAATTTCAATATTAATTCCAGGTTCGATACGTACACTTTGTCACACGCAGCCGCAACAATGTCCATCGCAACCTTGTCTTAACGGCGGCATATGCGCAGAGGGTTGGAACAGGTTCATTTGTGACTGTACCAACACTATGTTTACAGGACCGACTTGTGGGAAAGAAGCGGCTACTTTAAGGTATTAATTTGTAGTTGATGAAAAAGTAACTGTTTTCTAGTTTGTTGATTGAATTATTTTAACGTTTAGCTTTAACGGATCGTCGCACATGGCGGTCACGATGGATGCGGAAATGGTTACCCAGACGGAAGACATTATTTTACGATTCAGGACCAGCAAGCCGCTAGGATTATTGTTGATCTCGAGCACGGTCGAAACGGGAGACAGGATCGAATTGGCCGTGGCCGCCGGACGGATACGGTTAGCCCTTCGGCTGGACGTTAAGGAGAAACGAAAAGAAGACAGGGAAAAAGATAAGGTCGGTTTTTTTGACTTATACATTTTCTCTTCTTAAATTGTGGCAAGGATTTTCGGCAAATGCTTTATTTTGCAATGGAAAGCTAAGCCATTTATAAAAGTATAAGAAGCAGATTGTAGTTTTTTTCTAGCTACAATATCAAATCAGTTTGTAAAATATGTACTTTTGGCTCCGAGACAAATTACAACGCATACATAATTTCACGGAACGAAAATCAAATAACATAATCTTCGTTTGAACGATGTAAGACTACTCGAACAAGAATATACATATATACATCTCAGTAGGCGCGCTTATACAATTCGCACCCCATGAAATTCTCGGCTTTGCCATGTCGTCTCCGGAATTTCGATTATCAATTTACGATGCAGACGGAATCCGCTTCGAGGTTTCGGCTTGGTTACGAATCATTTTTGAAAAACAAAATGTGTATCGTGCCTTACAAGTTATGTTAAATTGATTGCAATCTTCAGCCTTTCGAGATATTTTATTTTCAACATGAAATAATTTCTACATATTAATTCTCATACTACTTCTTTACGTCTTTATGCCAAAATCAGCAAATATTTTAAGTATTTTTTGTTTCAGATTTTGTTAGCTGGACAAAATGTAAACGACAACGAGTGGCACACAGTACGATTTTCAAGAAGAGGCTCAAACCTCAAACTTCAACTAGATAATCAGTCACCAATAAGAGGTATGTTATTTTAAATTTTTATCAAACCCTATAAATTGAAAAAGTACTTTAATATTCAGTAAAGTTTCGGAGTCTTATCATGCTCAAGCAATCAAACGGTTTCCGACTTGAAAAACAAACAATAAAGAAATATGCTGCAATAAAAACAATTCAAGAAACGGTAAAAAGTCTGATGGAAAATTGATTATTGGGCAAATAGAAGTATTATTTTTAATTGAAAAGTTTAAGTAAATAACGCTTAAAAACGGGAGAATTATTTTACTTGATGATGATGATGGGCTCTCGCTATTATTAGTTCATTTATTTTAGTAACTCTGGGCTGTTCAATTCAAAAGAATATAAAATCCGAGACGAATGATAATGCAAACAATAGTTTTTATTTTTAGCTTTTACGAAAAGAACAAAACAAAAATTTCTAGAAGTCTTGGACAAAATAAAAAGAGGACGTCGCCTAATGAAAATTGGAAAATGGGGAGGGCCCATTAAAATAAATCTCCCTCCTTTCGTTCGTTAAAGTAAAATCTAAAATGCCATTTCATTTCAAAAAATTTAATTGCGTCCGGACTATTAAAATAACTATTCAATTTTATTTTTAGCTGAAATTCAAGGAAAATATACTACACTTCAATGGCGCACATTACACATGGGCGGTTTGTATCACGTAGAAGAAGAAATCAGTATGTCTACAACAGTGCCAAATTTCATCGGAGAAATACAACAATTGTATTTCAATAACATTCCTTACATCGAGCTGGCTCGTGCTCTCAGCACAGAACAATCAATTTCCGGTAAGATATTTTTCGTTTTATCAACAAGTTTACACGTATGTTAATTAAATCAAGTACACCAATTTTGCTTATGAAAGGTATGCGTCCAAATGCATTCCTTCAATGAAATTTCCCATTTGCCAGATTGGCTCGAGAAGCAGCTAAGCTGTCCGGACGCGTTGAAATCCGGAATATATAGTTTCGGATGGAATTGTGTGCATGTGGCGTCTCAGATATCGTTCAGATAATAAATGAGGATTTCTATCTCATATTAGTAATGAAATATAGCTGGGAAACTGTTATGTATTAAGTAGTGGATGTCAGACTCGAAAAATATTTGTTGGAATATAGGTAGCTGGATTCTTTCAAAATTTCAGCTCAAACTGTGAGTAGAGGTAGTACTTTCCTACAGACGTTGTATATTACTATATGATTTTTCAAAATAACTATATTCCTCAAGTGTAAAGCGTTAGCCTTTTACAGTCCGGGGTAGGTATTACCCACTAAACTAGTTAGTCGCTCTGCCACCCAGAGACCAATACCTATGAAAGGCTCCAAGTTTTTGGACTTAGGGCTGGTCTTGCCCCTTCGTTTGACGAGTTGCTGTTTGGTAGCTACCACATCTCAAGTAATACACGCTTGTGCCTTTCAACCACAAACCCAGGAGTGAGAACAGCAGCGAGCATTTTTACCAGTGCAGGAATTTGGTTGACCTAGTACCGTATTTCTTGTTTTAAATGGACTCACTAGGTAAGTCCTGTTTCCCTTGATAAGGTCCGGGATGGGGGTTTCCCCTTACTAGTTTTCGAAATATTCCAGTCATCCGTTACCCAGATATACTGGGATAGGGTAGATATTAGGGGTCCTTTGCCCTCGCCAACTAGTAAGACTACGGGTATTACTCAGGTTACACCAGTTAACCCCCCGGCCGTGCCTGGTTTCTCGTTTGGCCGGACGGTTTGAAGTAAAAGCTTATCAACCGAGAAGCTGTAATCATCAAACTTTCAGCCAGATTAACTCGAATCATTCATAAAGTTCCCCTCTTCCTACAGAGGACGAGACGATACCGCTACCATCTTTCAGGTTCAGGAACTTTACCCAGAATTATGAGATCGTTCGAGAGCTCCTTCCTTATCGTGAGACGGTAGACACGATAGTTCGGTGGGGGTTAACAAAATTGTACCAGCGATCCAGCCTGCATTAGGATGTGGGTTGGGGGACAGTGAGAATCTTGTAACACCTTTTGTTAATCAATCAACAAGAGGCCCATAATATGCTAGGTTTGCTCAGCGAATAATTATTAGGGGTGGGTTGATAGTTTAATAAGTACAGAATGGCAAGGGCGCCACTGAATTTGAAAAAAAAAAAAAAACTAAACTACATAAAATATGGAAGGGTGAAAATTCAGAAACATACCTAAAAAAAATCAGCAAACGGTAATTATAATTCTGAAAAGGAGATAAATCAGGCATATAACTCAACCAAATCCTGACATAGGTAAACCAATAAAACAATTAAGTAAGTTCCAAATTAAATTAGCGTATATTTCACAGTGAGGTCAAAAATCAAGTATTGAATAATTTCAAAGTATATAAATCAATTGCTGGTAAAACACTTTAACTAAAATCAATAAATAGAGGGTAACTCTCAATCAGTTTCATCAAATTCAAAAAAATAAAAAATAATAATATTACAATGTACCATCGTCACCAAAAGTATCTGGGACACAAATAATGCATAATAATCTCCTGGACTAATTCTACTGTCATTCATCTCAATGCTTTTAATTCATAGTTTGACAAATATTTGACAATAAAATTCATATAATAGGACAAGAGCCAATGTGATGCTGTCCCAGTTACTTTTGGTGACGATGGTACCTCAATTTACTTGCCATAGAAATTCATTAACAGTTGCTGGCCATACCATTAACATGAAGCGAAAATGTAAAGATTTAAGTTCCCAGGAAACTAAATTTTAAAAAATAAATGATTGAGAATTCTATTGATAAATATGGTCAGCTTCTGCTTAAAAAAAAATCAGTAAAATCAAATTTAAACTGTATGAAATCGAAGAAGTTAAACGTTGAAGGCATAAAGGAGATATAACTGAAATCCTCAAGTTTATAAGTAATACAACCCAGATGAAAAATTAATCCATTTTTGGCGTTATAGGTACTTACCCAATAATTTTGAATTTAGAAAATACTGTCCAACCTTGACCTCAGCTCAGATTAATGATTATGATTAGATACATGACGGTACCAAAAGTGAAAGTAAAAGTGAAGTAAAGATAAATCTATAATAAGTACGGTAAATCAAAAGTTAATTATTCAACTATCACCTCGGTGTCAAGAATTCTAAATGTGTATGTAAATAAAGCAATTATGGTAATTGATCATAAAATAGATTTTATAAAAAAAAGGTAATAAAAGTTATAATTAAAACTCTATACAAGCCTCAATTCCAACAAAAAGGTAGAGTACGGTAGTCGGTAGCCATTCATTTTTGGCCACTAGACGAGAGAAGTTGCACATGGAAGTTGCAGATTCTAGCCTGGAATCAAGGCTAGAAGTTCAGTTTTCTTCGTCAAATGTGGAGGTACAGGTATCGACGTGTCGACACGTGAAAGACTCAAGAGCTCTATGCCCACGCAGCACGAAAACAGTGATTTTTAGGGCTTCTTGCAAATGGATTTCTTGAGGAAAACAGCTCTTCGGAAAAAAAAAAAACGGCTCCCCGGAAAAACCCTAAGTAATAGAGGCATTCCATGAACAACCATTACTTTTAAAAAAATTTGAAAAGACGAGGGGTTCGAAATTTAAACTTCAATAAAAAGGTAATCACAAGACTTTTCATTTAAATTTTCTCGGTAATCGACGGATTATTGCCTTACGCAACTTTATTTCGTCAAGATAATGCCTGATAGCCGATAAGGTACTTTTTTCCACGAGAACGATATTCACATTTGAGGAAGTTGGACGAATATGGATATTGAGAAAGCTGCTGAAGAGGCCATAAGCCAACTTCTACCACTGAAATCCCGGAAGCTTTATGAAAAACAGTTTTCAGAATATAAAAAATGATGCGATAGACAAAATGTCGAAAATTTGGCAGACAAAAAGGTACTTTGCTCATACTTATCAATCATCAACGAAGCTCAAACCCTTCTCGATATGGAGTCAGTATTCTATGCTAAAAGCTACAATTATAAAAGAAATGAACATTGACTTCAGAAAATATCCTGATCTAGTTGGATTTTTGAAACGGAAGAATGACGGCTACAAGCCAAAAAAAATCTTGGGTCTTAGACCCGGATAACATCAAGCAATTCCTAGAAAAAGCACCAGACCAGGAGTTCCTTGCAGAAAAGGTAAGCTTTTATATTGATTATTATTATATCAACCTAAAGTCAGTGAGTGCGTAACATTCCACCTTGCTTATCATTAAATAATTTTAACTAAAAGTCTGTATGTTTTTGGTACAGGTGCTAATTCTGGGAGTTGCCGAGGCCTGTCGAGGTCAAGAATTATGTAACTTAGATTGCAAGGATGTCGAAGATCATGGAAAGTTTTTCCTAGTGAATTTGTCCAACATTAAAAATTACAAATACCGTTCATTCGTGATAACGTCTTCTACTTCCATTGATGTTGTAGGATTGGTGAGAAAATAGATAGCCCTTAGACCATCTATTGAAAAACACAACAGATTTTTTGTTTCTTACAAAAACGGGCAATGCACCTGTCAGCCTATAAGAAAAAATACATTTGGGCAGCTGCCAACAAAAATCGCTAAATTTTTGAATCTTTCGGAACCGCATTTATATACTGGTCACTGTTTCCGTAAATCGTCGGCGACGATGTTAGCCGACTCAGGTGCGAATATCCGACTAGAATGACATGGATGGAAAAGTACCGCCGTTGCAGAAGGCTACGTAGAAAATTCATTATTTCAGGAAAATACATTTTCTGATCAGATATTTAAAAATATCTCTCCTCGGAAAAACCCCGTTTTTGACCCGATATTCACAAATATTTCTTCGAAAACAACCAGCCAGCTAGTCTCGAACACGTCTAAGTTTTCTCCGAAAACTATAGTTTCCGATCAGGCTACAAGCAAATAAAACATGTCTGATCATCAAGTGTTCACCAACTCTTCATGTGAAGTTGCAACGACTGTCTCCAGTACTATTTTAGGGCAGCATAAAACAGATATAGCGGAAAATAGGGCGATGTCGATGTTAGTGCAGAAAATGATATGTGATAAAGCTCGCGGTTCCAGTCAACCGCGTTTTAAAACTTGAGCGATTGTTCGCATATAAATATGAATTTTAATTTTGATAATAATAGTTAAGAACCTGAATTGCTGGTAAAACAATTTAGCTTAAATCAATAAATAGAGGTTAACTCTCAGTTTCATCAAATTCAAAAAAAAATAAAAAAAAATAACAAATATATTACAATGTATCTCAATATACTTACCATATAAATTCATTAACACTCGCTGGCCATATCATTATCATGAAATGAAAATATAAAGATTTGAGTTTCCAGAAAACTAATTAAAAAAAAAGCTAAATGATTGGAAATTATATTGATAAATATGGTCAGCTCCTGCTTGAAAAATTAAATCAGTAAAATCATATTCAAGCTGTATGAAATCAAAGGTTAAACGTAAAGGTATAAAGGAGATATAACTGAAATCCTCAAGTTTATAAGAAATATAATCCAGATGAAAAATTGTTCAATTTTTGGTGTTATAGGTACTTACCTAATAATTTTAAATTTAGAACATATTGTCCAACCTTGACCTCAGATCAGATTAATGATTACGATTAATGAGTGTTAATTTTAGTGGCATGCAGATGCATAAATTAAAAGTTGATGAAAAATTTTCTTGTCTCGACTGGGATTTGAACCCAGGACCCCTACATTTCCAGTGTAATGCTCTACCAACTGAGCCACCGAGACCTGTCTCATTTCTACCCAGTCGATCAAGTCTTTCATCAATTTTTAAGTTGTT